TCTTTAAAGTGAGTTCCAGGACAACCACAGCTGTTAGGCAGAAAAATTGTGTCTCAAAAAGCAAAAAAACAAAAAAGACTTTTATACATAACTTCTCATTTGATTCTTGAAATACACCTCAATTTTAGTAAGGAATGTGTTACAATTTACTAAAACTTTTAAAATCTGTTTGTTATTTGGTTATTACATATCAGAAATATTAACTGTGATTTTGTGACTATATTGACCTCAACTTATTCTCAACTTCCCCATATTAATTTTGAGTTATTTGTCCACTACCAATAGATTACAATTGTACCTCTATTTTCCAAGCTTTAAAAGTCAGCAGAATCCAGTTTTCAATGTAATCTTCCCTAGAGATTGTCAGCAAAGCTGATGGCTCTTAAAAACTAAAATGGGCGTGAGTATAGCTTACAGCTGAGGAAAGCTCAAAGGGAAAAAGAACAATCAAAACAGATACCTGATTTAAAGGAAGTTTCATACAGCTGGCTTTTATATGAGCAAAATTATTCCTGAAATTTTTTTTATTTTAAGTTAAAGATCTTTAATTACCTTTCTTGAGACATTAAAGTCATCATGAGATTAAGAGTTAGTCTGAAAATGCCTTGCCAATATTTTTGGCTTGTGAATGTTTTGGTAACAATTTATAAATGCTGTGTTTTAAGATCTGAATAGCAAATGAAAACTAAACTTTGACTCCTACAGTAAATGGTGTGTGAAAGAAATTTTCAACTTAAATGATGAAAGACAAGCACAATGATAATCTTTAGTAATTAAATATTTTATGAAATCATGCCTATCTAAAGTTTTTGATATTCCTAATGCAGTCAGATTTTAAGGTACTTAAAAGGGTAGTTTTAGTAAAATAAAGATACGAGTTTTCACATATATTCTTATATGTGACCTTGAAATGATGATGAATAATATTAGAACATTTTCATGATCATTTTCTGTGCAATTGGGTTCTTTTACAAGCTATTTTAGGGAAAGATTTTAGCCCTGAACTTGGGATCTCTACCTTCAATTTTATAATAGCAGATAATGACCAAATTAGTAGGTATGTTGTTTTTAGAGAAGATGTCAATTCCTGTCATTAAAATTTTCCTGCAGACTGGCTTTGCTGATTGCATTCCCTTCAGTTAAGGTTGAAATGACCTTCGGGGAGTCACAGTTCCCTCAATAAGATTCAATCCGTTTACTGTGTAGGCTTGTTTTGAATTCCAAACATAAAAAAAAAAAATATTTGCTAAGTATTTTACAGAGTTCCTACTGTGAGTTACTATTACACAACACCTATAAATTTGTAAGAAAGTAAGACCTTAAGAGGCTAATTTCTCATAGCACAGTGAGATAAATGATTTTTTGTTTGTTTGTTTTGTATTTTTTTTTTTTTGCAGATTTCACTCTGCTTTGTTTTTGTTTGACAGTTTACTAAGGGAAATGACTTGAGTTTTCAAGACCATCACGTACACAAACTCAGTATACGTAATAAAAACAGTAAACATGATTTCAAGGATTCAAGGACAACCTTGTTTGAAGCTTAAGGTTGGTCCATGATCCCAGATAAGAACACCTTTTTACAGAAGATACTTTGAAATGTACTGATAATCTATCAGACCTACATCCCTCAGCATGCTGGCTCTCTAATTACCTCTCTCTCTCTCTCTCTCTCTCTCTCTCTCTCTCTCTCTCTCTCTCTCTCTCTCTCTCTTTATCTCTTTCTCATATTATTAGATTATGCAGACAGATGGTGATTATTCTTGTAGATGCTGCCATCAGGGTGTGCCTTGTCCTAAATTATGAAAATAGTGGTTTTTTTTTAGACTATGTCTTTCTCTAAGAGTCTTCATTTTACAACCAATATCTTACTCCACTTTGAGGATACAGGGAAACTGTACTTTGGCAGACATGTAAACATCAGCTTCTGTCTGACATCACCTATATGGCACAGGCTGATAAGTAATTTTATTCTTTTCTTTAATTATACAAAGTTTAATTTATTAAAATTAAATGAATAGTCTCAATTCATTTTGATGAATTTATAGGGTTGCATACTTTCTACGTTTAAGAATAAAATTCGAAAGAAAATGAGCAAACCACTAAAAATGTGTTCAGCTGCATTCCCACTTTGTATGGTCTGAATGTAGATGAAAATGCTCTAATAATTTTCGTATTGGTGACTGGATACACGGTATTAAGGTATTAGATTATTTTTTATAAAGAATTTAATATTTCATTTAATTTTAATAAATTAAACTTTGTATAATTTTAAAAGCAACACTAAAATATAGAGTTGCTTCTCTCTGACATTTGATTATGATTTAGTTTTAGGGTTTCCAGAGAACAATTTCTATTCTATTTCTTAGCACTGTGGTTTTGCCTCATTGATGACTCCATTTTTCTCTGACCTTTCCTCTCAATTTTCCATATTTCTCCCATTGCTTCTAATTTGGATACAGCACTATAAATGGGAATAGCATTATAGGTTCCTTTTAGAAATTACCATAGGCTTTTTCATTTGTAATAGGGTGATAGTTTAACTCTTAAGTAAAATAAGTCAATTGTTTGAAGTTTTCTTATGCAGCATGAGAACACTGATAGTACGAGACGGATACATCCGAGTTAAAATATCATGCTCTCTATTTTCAATAATCCTTAGAAATTTTGGTAATCTCTGAGAGTTTCTATTTCTTCATCTTTAAATGGAGGAAACAACTTTGTTGAACATCTCTTATTCACGCTGAATCATCTTATTATTTATATGAAGATACATATTTTCCAATTATTTTGATAATCTTGAAGAAATTTATTATACAGTACTCTAACTGTAGTACTTGATGTTCTGAATTACTTGCTAAAGTTTAATGCAAATGGAAAGAGTATAGGTTAAAATCTAGGCCCAATTCAACAATGAAGGTATTCACTATTTTTCTTTAAAACATACTGACTTGTGAATACTAAATTTATGAAAATACATATAGAATAATAGAATATACAGCATTAAATAAAATTAACAAGTAAATCAAAATTAATCAGTAAAATTAATAGCTAATAAAACTGTGTCCTATGTTCAGAAATTTCTCCCACTTAAGGCCATCCCTTTCTCAATAGCATATCCAGTACCATCTGTATTAGGAATAACATTGTGGAAATTTTTATGAAAATAACCCACAATAGAAAAATATTTTTTCTCTCATTTGGACAGATAATGTACAAACATTACCTTTCTATAAACAAATGAAAAAGGCCTAAAGAGAATTCCCAATGAGGCTGTGTGGCTGGAAAATGAGAAGTCGTCATTGTGTTTGGCTCATTAGTCTCTGAGCTCTACATACAAGCAAAGCACCAGAGAAAAGAGGAAACCCATTGCTCTGGGGACTCCTTTCTGACAGAAGAAACAAAGTGTCCTTTCACTGTTGAATCCCTTGAGTGTTTCACCCGAGAAGCCACAAGGATAGATGTCACACGGGGCTAGTTTTTTATAGGGGCCCAAATTAATGTGGGTTACTGATGCACGGTGTAAGACTGATGCACGTGTATGTGGGCAGGGACTAAAGTGTGTGTTTTCGTTTTTCAAAGAACTACCAATGCTGAGATTAGCTGCATGGGGATGAATTTACAGGCTGTATGGCAGGCAATATTAAATCCATAGATCATAAACAAATTGCAGGAATTTCAGCTATAGAGAAATCTAATTCTACATGGGAAGTCATCCAAGTAGCTCCCCTTCCATTTGTTTTCTAGAAAAGCACATATGAGATGAAGTATTAAGGGAGAGATTTTGTGATGCTGGAGTCAATCAAGATGAAAAATAATTGAAAAATCTGCATGCCGGAAGATGCAGCATTCAATGAAATGCTATCTACTCTTGCCAGGGACTTCCTCACCCCCTTGCCAGAATTTATTGTATGCTTTTCAAGGGAGGATGCTTTAATACAGACAGGAGGCTACTTCAGTTTCCCAGGGGTTCACAGAGCAGCCTTTACTTGATACGAGGCTGTAGATGTCTTATGCACCTAGGTCTATGAAACTTGCAGTGAAGTAGGTTTTAAAAAAGACATACCTGACCAGTTTCTGGGTTATAGTTGTAAACAGAGACTGCTTTTTTTTTTTTTTCTGGGACACCTAGACCCAAATAATTACACAGAAACTATATTAATTATAACACTGTTTGGCTGATGGGTCATGGGTATTTTTAGCTACCTCTTACATCTTAAATTTCTATTATTTTATATTTTACTGTGAGGCTCGTGGTTTGTTACCTCTTGCTTCCTGGGTGACTACATGGTGTCTGCCTGACTCTGCCTTCTTTCCTCCTTTATCTTGGCTTGGGTTTCCTGTCTTGTATATTCTGCCCTGCCATAGGCCAAAGCATCTTCTTTATTAACCAATGTTAATAAAACATGGCCACAGGATACAGAGGGGAATCCCACATAGTATCGTGCTCTGTGTCTGTGTTTTGTATTGGTTGGCATTTCTGGTAGGCGCTTTTGCAGATGTGAGTTGCTCCCTCAACCTGGGATTAAGAAGTGTTGGGAAGTCAATTTGTGCATCCCGAAGTTTGGTGTGTATTCAGTCTGTGAAAGATAAACTTCCCTGAGCTAAGAAAGAAAGCAGGTATGAGGAGAAACTTCCCAGAGCTGGGTCCTGAAAATGGGATTAATCTGTTCCCGTAGGCTGGAATCCAGAACATTCACATACATTCTGCCCTACACGAGACCACCATGTTCCCATTTACAGACCTCCAAGCCATCAGAGATTAAGCCACAGAAGTATGTCAGGAAGGAGAGCATTAATGATTGTATGATTGATTTGAAGAATTCGAAAGAGTTGTGCAGGTGAGTAGTTTTTACAAGAGGACAGATTCAAGGTAGACTTTTGATGTGGGAGTGATTTCTTATTAATAAAGAAACTGCCTAGGCCCCTTGATAGGCCCACCCTTAGGTGGGTGGAGAAAACAGAAGAGAGTTCTGGGAGAAAGAAGCTTAGTGAGGAGTCGCCATGATTCTCCTGCTCCAGACAGACGCAGGTTAAGATCCTCCCTGGTAAGCCAGCTCGTGGGCTACACAGAATATTAGAAATGGGTTAGAACAATATGAAAGAGCTAACCAATAAGAAACTGGAACTAGCTGGGCCAGGCAGTGTTTGAAAGAATACAGTTTCCGTGTAGTTATTTTGGGCATAAGCTAGCCATGCAGGCGGCTGGGTGCCGGGGACACAGCCCCGCTGCTCCTAATGCAACAGACTTTCAGCAAAGAAGTTGAACATCATGTAACTCAACATGTCATTGTTAGCACAATTACTGCCCACCTAACCCACTTAATATTTACATATTCATATGATCCTCCTCTGTAAACCATAAATTTTTTGCTACATTAACTTACCTAGGTGTTTTCCACAACTGAGTCTGTAATGGAAACTATCATAAACACACTTATTTAATTCTAAATTCTAACTGGGTCTCAGATCAATATTTGTTATGGGGAAACTGGTCGTTCTGTACTGTAGTATAGGGAAGTAATGAGATTGACCATAAGGCAAGGTCCTGACTTGTTTAAAATTCACTCAAAGTTCCACTTTTCCCAATCTGGAACCTTCATTGGCAGGAACATGCTCCTAATGCCCTTCAAACACTTAAGATAACAGAGAAGATTTAGCAAAATATTTTGCGCCAGCCCGGACTCCTATCAAAAGGCCATTCAAAGTTCTTAATCCTTTGATGAACCAGTGTGTAACTGAGACAGAAAATTAAAAGTCCCAGCATGTGATGATATGAAAAGTGTTGGAAAGTAGAATAATAATTTTTGTCAGCAGTATTAGAAAAACATTAATTAAAATATGTGGATCATTGCTTCCTGGATCTTTAGACTCTAAAGCACACACTGAATATGTGTGATTCTAGGTTTGGAACTAATAGCATAAATAATGGCAAGAAAAACATAAAAGAATCTCATTTGTAAATGAATAATTATAGATGCATTAGACTGCTGTTGGTAAACATAATGCCCACTAAGAAAGAGTGCCTGCTTGTTACCACAACAAGTTGCAATGTTAGTTTATAACTACATATGAAGCAGACGATATAAAACATTCATTTTTTTCTTATTTGAAAATTATTGTTATGGTCACATGTTTTGGAAACTTTATGTTACAAAAAGCAGATATTTATATTTGCTTATTCAAGAAAGAACAATGGTAGTATTAAGAATGAAAACTATTCCCTCTCTTAGGATTGGAGGGGGGAAGAGTGTGGGGAGGGAATGGGAACAGGGTAGGGAGTAGGAATTTGGATTGATATTTTTTTAAGTAATAAAATAATAATAATAATATACAAAACAGAATGAAAAATATTGCTTGTAGTGGCATGTCTTATGTGTACATATTTTAATAATGCAATGTAAAATCTAAAATTTACAGATACCAGAAATTAACTTTATTGATATGTAAATGATTCTTCCTGTGTATTTTAAAACACAAACATGGAAGAGAGTGTCTAGAGACAAAGCTAAGTGAGAAAATCAAGCAGACATGCTGATTACTATATAATAATATGTTTATGGCTAGTGCTAATAATTTTAGACCAATTATTTTACCTTCAGTATTACTCTAGGAAACATTTCACTGAAACGTGGCCTTTTATTTTTTAGACTGGGTCCAGTCACTCTCAGCACACTCTCAAACACAACTTTGTTCTACTCATTCGATCTGAAGTCAAGGAAGTAAAAACAAATGCGTGAATACAATTTTTGTGAGTCTTCATTTGAATCTTTGAAATTTTGATTTTTATCAAGAAATTAAATATTGAGTAGTCAATAAACAAAGAGAATAAGCAGTAAGTTAAAAAATTTTAGGAACTGGAATACACTTCTAGCACAAGTCAAGAATAAAAAGATGCTTTTGCTGTCAAAGAAAAGACATAAGGTTTTTTAAGATAAGACAAAGTTTTTTCATGAGTTCCCTCTGTTGTGGGGCCCTCCATCCTCATTACATAAATAAATAATCAAATATTCAGCCATATATTTTAAAACACTCTTATCAATTCCTCAATAATTGTATACAGTGTAGTTTGAACATTCTTCTTACTTCTCTCCATTTTCTCCCCAATTCACAGCCCCATACAACACCTATCCAACATTGTCCTCATCTGCCTTTGGAACCCATCACGCCCTATTAGTGCTTGCTTATATACTTTTTGATTCATATCCATGTGCTGGCGTGTGTTACACCTATTAGGTCTACAGTGTTAAAGCCTTGAGTCCTGAATCAAGATCCTCAAAAGTGCAGGGCATCTCCTTAGGCTCCCAAGTATGGCAGTGTTGGAGCCGTGTCTCTGTCCCCTCACCCACCAATTATCTCACAAGAAAGCAGTACGCTATTATTAAAACTAAAAGCCAAGATTTTGTATAATGACATCCTAGAAATGCTTTAGAGTTAGCACTGAATCAATTTCAGTATTTTTAAATAATGCTGATCATAATCACTATGACAACACTATGACAAACATTCTTTTTTACTGCAGCCCTACAGCTTTATTTATTAATTATTTATTTACTTTTACTCATTTTCCAAAGACATACTGCTGGAGTGATGATGCTATAGAGCTAAGACTGAGCCATCAGCAGACACTGAGCAACAGCACCAGTGGTGCAGATGCGGAGCACAAATAAAGCTTTGAAGAGATTAAGGATAAACACAGCTTTGTTCTTTCAGAAATTAAAGACCTATATAAACAAGAATGTCATACCTGACTTCACATTTCCCCAAGTTTCAATAAAATAGCCTATGAAAGTTGGGCTGTTAGAAAGGCAAACAAACCTGTGAGTAATAATTGTTTAATTATTTTCCTCCCCACCCAACCATTTCAAGCCAAAATGTGTGTTGCAATACCTAGCAGGCTTGTTTGTATAAGGCATTGTGAAATTCATTCAGACCCTTTTGACTAGTTGCTGAGAACCTCCTATCAGGCAATTCCTGGAGTGCAGAGAGAGTGTAACAAAGTCTCCCTTTCATGCTCTTCAGTCTAGCAGAGATAGAAAAACATAGAACAAATCTTAAGTGTAATATGTCACATAGTAACAAATACAATGAACAACAGCAATAGCAGAATAACTCAAGCAAAGTATTTAGAAACTGCTAGGCATGGGGGATGCTATTTCTGAGGGCAGTAAGGGAAGCTCTCTGCTGATGATATTTTAGGAGAGACCTCACAGAAGTGAGGAAGTGGGCGAGAGGTGTTTGGAGGTAAAATATTATAGAGGATGAAATAATATAGACAGAGGACGAATGGAAATTCAAGTTGTTAGATATGCTGGCATAGCCATAAAGAGGTTAATTGATGAAGGCCAGTAAGAAACAATTAGAAAAAGCCATTCAAAGGTGGTGAGTGGTGGGCAAGTGAGCAGGAATGGCCAAGCCTTCTCAGTCATCTTGGCTTGTATTGTGCAGAAGATAGCAAGGATGGTGACTAGTTCATGGGGGGTAGATAGGTATGAGCTATAGGAGTGGCGGCAGCAGATGCGAGTTAGAACACTGCTGAAGAGGATTTAAAGGTCGAACCAAAATATGTCCATAGTTTAGATATGAGGCATGAAAACAGAGAAGAGAAGTGATGGGGCTGAGAATTTTTATTTTCCCCCAAACCGGGTGAAAAAAAAGTAGCATTTTAGTAGGATTTTTAAAAGGATGTGGATTTCAGGGTTAAGCTGATCATCAAATATAATTTTGATTTCAGTTTCTCAATTTTAAGGTGTCTTCTAAGAATACAAAAAAATACAGTGGGGAAGGGAGAGAAATCAAACAGCATTAGTAAAAGACACTAGAATGATCACAGAGTATATGGGACATAAGAAAGAAGAAAAGGAAAACAAAGCAAAGAGTTAAAAATACAATTAAAGCACTTAATTATATTAAATATACTACAAGTCAAGGAATTGCTTTAAGTTGAGAGTACTTCCAAAATATTTGAATACAAAATTAACTTTTATGAAAATATAAGCATGGTTTATATTAAAAACCAGTATTCTAAAATTGTGGAAATTAGCCTCCATAAACTATGGAAGCTAAGCATTTATACTTAAGGCCATAAAATGTCAGAAACGCGTGCCTTCTTTGGAGCGATTACTTCATTAGCTCTCATAGATCCTTATAAACTAAGCATACTTAAATGAATACATCTCTTTGTTCGTAAATAGTGTGGAAAGCAAATTAAATCATCACGTCAAAGTTGTTTTCCTTTTAGCCCCTCCTAGGATTTTACCTGGGAGTTTCCAGAGAGTCAGAAAGTCCTCTCTTCAAAATCCAACTGAGAGCAATTAAAGGGAAACATTTTCCCGTTAAACATGAAAGAATGTAGTGTTAGGGCCACTGTGAAACCCTGCCCAGTGTTGTCTGAGGATATTTGTAGAAAGAGCCCATCAACTTTCTTCCTGGAAAGAAACACTGTAAAATAATTGCATGGTTGGTTATACCTGAGATTATTTTGTTAGTGAGCAGAGAAGTTTTAAGAGAAATATCAAGTTGCAGAATCCCTGGACATCTAATCAAGTAATCAGAAGGGCTATAAACATAATCCCCTTTCATGGAGGGTCATTTGGAGATATGGTTGTACTAGATTTAATAAAATAAAATAAAATTTAAAAACATCTTTAGCCAGTACAACAAATACTATGAATTACTTGATAAAGGCATAAGCAAGCCTTGTTCCCATAGTAACAACTAAAGCTGATGCAGAAAAAAAAAAGAATAATTTCTGAGATTTAGTATGCAATTGGCAGTACTTACTTAGCTGTAGATATTAATGTGAATAATCTTTGTTCGGGTGTCTAATTTTCAGAGTTGCATATGTAAACTCATTTTCAAGATGCCATAATTTAGCTTCAGGAAAAGTCTGAGAGCAGGTATGCACTAACTAGAGACAAATCTGTGCTTAAAAGGTAAGATGTACAACTCATTAACCATTTGAAAAAGCAAGCTACCCAACTCTTTATGCTCCACGGATCACTTTAGAGCTCACGTTACTTTGGTGCCGCCATGTAATACTATATCATCAGCACCTATCGAATTAGATGGACACTAAATGTACATTAGTTGGAATATCCCAGCGGAAGTTCAATTTCCCAAAGCAAGAACAGACATTTAGCTATATATCTACTGGATTCATAAATTCTTTTAAGACCTACAAAACATTCTCTGAAGAAATTTCAAAATTTATATTATGAGAACCACTGCCCATTCTTATCATTTTTAGGGTCTAACATATAAGCGGACAGACATAGACATTTTCATTCGGAATCAAGAATTCTAAGTCATCTTTATACCATTATTTTACAATTAATGAATACTAATAGACCTTGGTTAATTTCTTATAACATATAGTTGGAAAAAAATCTAAGCATAAACCAAGTTGGATTTAATAGTAAATCTCCATGTCGTTATTTGGGGTTTGTTGCTCCCAAAAGAAAGCATAATGAGAAAGACTTTGTACATCACTGGACTCAGATGGAAATAATATTTTTAAGGAGAATTATTTTTACATGCAAATGTGAACATTCTTATTATGTGTTATAATCTGCAGATGACTGTATGTAGAAATGCTCAGATCATAGATGAACTTAACTAGTTAATAAATTCATTACAGTAAATTTTAAGCATACCTGGAATTGCCAGAACCAGAGAAGTTTCCTTCTTCATTAATGGAACTATCATGCAGACCAACAACTGGACAATATTCAGGGGATGAGGGACTGTGGAATACTCAGTACTAAATGTGTTCTTTTTAAACTTCTCCCCCTCAGAGTTCAGGGAGCTATGCAGAAGAGGAGGCAAAAAGGTTGTAAGATGCAGGGATGGATGACATCAGGACCAGTGCAAATATGAACTCACAGAGCCTGTGGGCAACATGCGCAGGGCCTCCACAGGTGCAAGCCAGATGGGGTCCCATCACTGAGACAGGGAAGTGGACACACACACACCCGCGCCTCTAACCAAGAACCTATTTCCAGTAGACATCTCTTTAAAAAGGAATTTTCTTTCTCCAATGGAGTTTCATTAGGTATACAATTGCACTTATGTGCAGGCCCTATGCCCAGCCAACACAAAATGAACTCAATGATATTTTCGTAAACATTTTCTCACATATGGCTTCGTTTGGGCATTTTTGGTCTAACTGGCCTTTTGCTTGTATATTCTGGTTTCTGGTTTTGTTTTGCCTTTTCCTCTAAATGAGTTTTGTTTTTATATGTTTGTGTATCTATGTATGTATGTGTTTCTTGTGTTTTTCCCTTTGTTTTAATTCTGTTTTGTTTGGTGATTTTTTGCTTGTTTGTTTTTGATTTCCTATGGTTTTCTGAAAAGAGAAAGGAATTGCGTGAGTGGAAAGGTAGGGAGTCCCTAGGAAGAGTTAAGAGAAAGGTAATCGTGATCAGAATATATGAAACAGATGGCATAAAAAACATTTATTTTTGACATATACATAAGGAGTTGGTTTGAAGAATGAAACCATGCTTTTCTTTGGTAAATGATACTTTGACAGTGAAAAATTAAAAGGGAGGATAGAGAGCAGAAGAAAAGAAAATAGCTGCATTCTATCCGATTTGCTACCAAACAAACTTCTATTCCAAGCAAAGTCAGGAATTCAAATTTCCCCAGTGCTTATTCACTGACCTCGATGCTGTTAATAGCTCAGAATTATTCCAAGAGTCCAAAGAGTGTTAATTTGGTTTTGAAAATTTGTTATTGAGTTGTTTAGTTTTTTTTTTTTAAATATTGATCTAGTTCTAAATAACATCTTGCAGGGAAGAAAGGAGAGACTTTCCGCCCCACTCCCGCCCCCACATGTGTATGAATGCTTCCTCCTGAATCCACTGACAACTTTTGGAAATTAGAGAGATCACCCCAGTGCGTCTCATTCTGTTATCCCTGGTGACAGGACTTCCTGGGGTTTTGTTCTTTTCTGTTGCTGGTCTGATTTGATAGCCTCTGCAGTCCTTTAACATTGAAAAATCAAACAAAAACCAAAGTAATTATTGTTCCTGATAGAGGCAAGCAAGCACTCTCCTGACAGAATAGGATCTGGAGGGAACATGAGGAGGGCAGTCAGTGCTGTGCTTGTCAAGGGACAAAAACCATACCTTGGAAGAGGCTGAAAATGGGTTAACATCATGCCAGGAGGCTGGACTGGTCCTGAGGACAATAAACAGTAAGGCATTCAGGTGTGGTGTATACTAGCATCTCCGAGAAAGCAATCAGTGCTTCAAAGCTAAAACTGTTGCTCTTGGCACAGAAGCCCTAACCTTATGCTCAGCCACGTGCCATCTGTTTTTCCGAATTATAGAAAAAAAATCCTATGCCCATTTCTCTCCTGTTTCCCTCTATCCGCATGCACTTAAACTAATTGCCTTCCCAAAGAATTATCACCTCACATATAAGCATGATACCTTTCAGGGAAATAGCAAGGCTAATATCTCTAGGTGCAGATTTATAGCTATATTATCTATAGGAAGAATGGAAACTTACTTTAGTTTTATAGAAATTTCTATGTATTAATAACTCACGTGTGTAAGGGAATTCTCTAAAGTCCAGCCCTGACCAGTAATAGCATTTGGGGTTTGAATAAGCTCAGATTTAAAAGCCATTGTGTTCAACCTCTTTATTAAATGATTTTCAATGAAGTTGAGATCCTCTATTGGTAATGAAACCTGTTAAATTAAATAAAACAAAATATTCAGAAAATATATTACTTTCTGTGGCTTGAATCTTTAGCTTCTACTTTGCTCTACTTGTTTGTTTGTTAGTATGTGCATGTATGCATGCATGTATTCACTTATCTGGCAGAGTATCACAAAGCCCAGGATACGATAAAACATTATGTAGCCCAGGCTGACTATAAAGTTCGGATCTTCCTTCTTCCACCTCCTGAGTCTTGGGTGTGTGTCAGGTGTGTGTCGCCACGCCCAATGTTAGCTTCTATTTTGAAAAGGATGCTTTTCATTCATTTTTATTTCACTTAATATTAAATTGCTCTTCAAATATAATAATATTTATTTTTTATTTAACATTATATTCTCTGTAGAAAAACAATCAATTGTATTCAGCTTTTATTCTCAGATTAAAAAAGTTTTATAATCCGTTACTCCCCAAAAGACCCTTCAGATGTCATTCCTGTGATAGGAAAAAGATTTCTGCTTTTCTGTCATGTGATTGTGCAAGGAATTCCTGGTTTTCTAATTGGTCCTGTTCCAGGTTTCTCTGTAGGTCAGCTGGAAGCTTGGAACATTCTCAACCTTGTAAACGAGGATTCAAATAAGAGCTTGATTCCACAGCCAGTTATTAAAGCCGTGAGAACCCACCAGAAAGGAGAATTACAGTATTGTATTATTGGCCCAAGTTCCAAGTCACCAGAAAAGATCATTAGTGATTTAAGCAGTCAAGGAGAAGGGCAGATGCACTTAACACAATTAAGGGCATATAAAGCTACAGCTTTTTTTACCCGCGATAAGAAATAATACATAAAAAAAAAAACTTCAAAGATATTCGATTTAAAGTAAATGCTCAATTCTCTGCTCTCATTGTAAAATTCTACCCTGTAGGTGCTGCGGTGGCTGACTTCATGAGTACTGACACTTGCTTCCTCCACACTAGCCCTGGGGCGGGTGGATCAGAGAGGAGCGCTTGTATCAGAGTTAAGAGGGTGGGGAGAGTGCAGACATGCTCCACTCAACAAGTCTCTTTGCCAAGGATCTCCACCATGGAGTGTGCATGTCCCAGCAAGGCTGCAACCTAACGAGAAAGGGGTAATTCTGTTTATCTCTTTTCTGAATGTTTCCTTCTGTGAAGCCCAGGCTGGACTGGAACTCCCAATAGTTTAGCTTCCTGAGTGCTAGAATTACAGGCGTGTAATTATATGGCATGATGCCCAGATGGGAGATGAAACTCACGTACCTTTTATTGGCCTATTTTGAATTAAAGACAGAAAGGAATTAAGCCCACTTAATGCCTAATACTCCATTGAACCTGGTCGCTCCCTTGGTCACTGTTTCTTTTCTCCATACAGTCTTCGAGGTGTGGATGCAGCTGGAGAAGTCAGCAGTGCTCTTTCCTGTTAAAGTGAGCTCCTTGTGCTGAAATATAGCTGAATGACATAACAGGGGATGGTGGATTTCTGTAAAGCAAACTCTCTAGGTCAATGGACGCATCTGACCCAGACGCTTCCTCGGTGTCTTTCCTTCGAGTTGAACTTACATGGAAACTAAACAAATAAATGCACTTCAAACAAGGAAATGCAGATAGTAAGTGGGTAGGAATATTAGGAAGTGAAGCATAGCTATTACGGTTCTGCTACTGAATATTCATAAAATTTAAACAAACTGACAAGCTAGGCTTCTAATTTCTTAAAGGACTTATAAATTGGTAACATGTGAGTTTTGAACATACTTATAGCTAATGAAAAATGACAATATTCAATTTCTTTCAAAAATAGCTGATTAGCATGAGGCAGCATGAAATGCATTGCCTGGATTTTTAGTAAGAATAGTTAATAGATAGGAGCAAAAGAGAAATATCATTATTAATTAAGATTTCTGTATCTTTGTAAGATTCTTTATCAGCTATCAATTAATAAAGCCAAGTAACAAAATGATCAGAAGTCATTGCTCTAGTAACTCCATGACACAGTGTTAAATTAAGATTCATAATTACTCTAGAAGTATTACTGATACTACTTCACATGGGCATATTAGCTAATTCTGATATGCATCAATCATGGGAAATCCAATGGCTTAACCATATTTTTAGTTTAGTTCACAGTTGTGTAGTAGAATGTGGCTGAGTTCTGTGCACAGGGTACCATATCAGCATGTTAAGTGGCTAAATCTCCATCTGCAGAACTGTCGAAGACCAGCCTCAACAAAACTTGTATGTTCCAGGATAGGAGCTTGAGCACTAGAATTATTAAACAAAAGAAACAGGGATATGAGAGAAATAAGAGGCAGAAACACAGAACATCATGCGGGGGGGGGGGAGGGGAGGAGATTCAGTGAATAATGAATCCAGAATCCACCCTCGTTTATTCTCCACATGCTTATAAATTTCACTCCAAAATGGGAGGGGGTCACAAAAGACTTCATTAACATGATATAAGGAATAGACTTGTATTCCCCAAGTGGTTCAATTGGAGCAGATCTACCTCTAACCCGAAGTATTAATTAATCACACCCTAGGTCGAAATCTCCTGTTTGTAGCCACAGGTGCTGTCAACACTTGGAAAGAGCGAAAATAAGCTCAAACTCTCTGACCTCTAGTCAAGGTGGAAGAGGCTTACATCCGTGGGCCCTCACGGAGAACCATGTTTGTTCTTCTGACCATGGCTGCAGAACTGATACCACAGTTCCTTAATGGGCTGCTCTTCCACGCCACAGAAACTGCATTCCTGGTCAAGTGGCCTCATCCATCTCGAAGCCTCAAACTATGCAGTAAAACTCTCCAGTATTTGAATTTCTGGCTTCTTTTTTCATCAGAGAAATTCTTGGCTTTTAAAAGGCCTATATAGTTGGTTAGGCTGGGCCAGTTGTGTTATAATTAAAATACGCTTGTCTACAAAGGAATAATTAGTAATTTGTTATTTTAGTATATAATTTTATATATTTAAATTGAGGAATACTGGAAAACCTAATATGAGTGTGTTATCCCAAAACATGATGTCTTTTTTAAAAAGTCAAATCTTAAGATATTTACTTGCAAGACATTTTGGATACAAAACAATATATCCCCTGCTAGTCCTTGATTGCCCTAGTTTACTTGCAATGTGTTTGTGTCTGCTAATTCTGGTATATAAGTAGCATTCCTCAAGGAACTTTTTTTTTTCTCTTTCTTCCACATTCCATCCTTGAACTTTCCTACATTGTATTACAGAATTAAAAAAAAAAGTTTTATCTAAAGAAGCATATGCCAACTACTCCTATCCTTCAATAGTCCCATTCTTGCCACAGTTTGAATGATAGTCAAGCAGGCCTTTGTTCAATAACTATCCATTTGAAGTGATACTGGTTCAGTATATCATATTGCATTGTGAAGAGAGTTGTTATAAAAAATCTTAAAAATATTTTGGTTTTTGGAGCAAAATTCTACTAGGAACATCTCTAGCATTGGCTGATGTGATAGGCATGAGGTGAGCACGGAGGTGGTATGAGATTCAGGTTCCTGCTACAAATTTACCTGGAGTAGCTTTCTAGGACTCCCCTTTTTGTCATCCTGTCATCCACCCCGTAATCCACCTGCAGGAGTCTTAAGTGTCTCACAGAGATGCTACTTGTGTGTTCGTTACCACATCATGTAGGCACATTTTGATCCTACATCCAAATCCATCATCCCTCTTCCAAACTCTGTTCCTAGAGGCTATCACAGTGCTTTGTGACGTTTCAACAGTCCTTAGTTACAGTTGCCTGGACAGAATCTCGCTGACCAATCAGGTTGAAGGATGTGGCCCTCCATTGTCTCGAAAGAGTATAAATACAGGATTCTCAGTCTTCTGTTTCATACTATGGGGAGGCTTCCTTATGGAGAAGGTCATCAAGCAGAATCACAGGAGCCTACTACAAATAAGGACCCATGGAACACAAGCACCAACAAGAAATGGGAACACGCCTTCGTGTCAATCCAGGTCCGGTGCCTGCAGCAAGCCTGGAGTCAGTCTGTCTCTACAAGTTACAGAAAGATGACCAGACCCAAGCGAAGTATTCTCCCTGCTCCCCTCCCCCCATCCCCGCCCCGACTACCTATTCGTCTTTGGCCTATCATAGGTGCCCCACCCCCCAAACCTACACCTCCACTTATAAAATTCACTTTATGTGCAGATTGATTTCTCTCCCCAGACCCAAGTTTTTATGACCTCATTGTATGGTGCTTGCCAGTATGAAAGACCACTAAGAAATGGAAGAGAACCTTAGAAAAGAGCACAGTGAGGATGAGGAGACTCTCTGAAAAGACTCTCCTTCTGGTTTTTTATTTTGATTTTTTTTTCATTATTTTTTAATGAAAGGTAGGGAAACAGTATGTTCCATTGATCACCAGTAGCTGAGAGGAGGTGACTGTGCCTGAGTCCTGGCTGGAACAAAGAGATCTAGAAAGCTCCAGCTTTCCCACCAACAATCTCTCCAGCTCCTAGCTCAGGGCAGCCAAAGAATCAGAAGTCTGTACAACGATCTGACAGCTGACTTATGTCTAGTCACGTGGACACTGAATTTTACCAGAAGTGCTTTTGTGTTAGCAATAGTAAAGCCAGTTGGATGAAGGTAAGATGGGGTGTTTTCTTAGGATCAGAAAAGGTAGAAAAAGAAAGCAGCACTGAATGCAGTCACATCAGCAAATCACTTTCCATTTCACTCAACCAGATGTTAGCATCTGCTCTTAGCAGATACGAAAAGAATGACTTACAATTTAATGTACACTTTAGTTTTATATAAAAAGTAGGATATGAGAAATTGTTGTAAACTCAATAGCACAACTCAAGCGCAGATCCTGGGGTGATGGGCATATCTGCACTGTCCAGTGCTGTGAACATAAGACACCCATGACTATCAGCACTTGAAATATGACCAACCAGACTGAGGAATAGGATCTTAATTTTATTTCTTACAGTTGTCTACATTTATGTTTGAATCACCACATACAACTAGTGCATTCAGCAAGGCTCGGCTGTAGAAAACTAGCAAGAAACACTCTGGTTTGAAGTCTAGTTCAAAATGATTCATATTCGGAGATGTGACAAGATCTGTGTTCATTAATTTCCAGCTCTTACTTTATTCTCTTATTCCCAGCAGCAAGCAGATTGTTGCTGTAGGATAACGTCAAAATGGTCCTTCAATCTATTCTAGATAATGACTAATGGTACCCCAGCTGTAGTTTTCGAATGGATTGCAAAAGCTCCTGGAGAGAAGTAATATCATCTTAATATATATCTCTAATACACTATAACTTATCTTAGTCACTTAAATATTTATTGCTAGATTTTTTTGCAAAGAGCATGACATATGCATTTAGACAGATAAGGATAATTTATACCAGAAAAGTAAGTGTGCATCTTACTAGAGCAGAAGGGTTGTTTGTAGCACATACTGTGAGCTTCTCCTTCTGAAACTCTGTGCTGTTTGGTTGTGTATCTCTATGTGTGACTCTGACTATGCCTGTGTGCCTCTGTGCCCATGTGCATTTCTGTTTTTGTCTGTATATGTATCCTTGTGTTTCTATGTGTATCTGTGTGTCTCCAGGTATGCCTGTATATGTGTGTGTGTTTCTGTCTGGGCATATGTCTATGTGTGTCTGTGTTTGTTTATGTGAACCTGGCTATCTGCAACCGATATACCTGTGTGTTTCTGTGTATGTAGTTGCTTCTGTGTGTCCTTGTGCATGTACGTATAATATATATGTGTGTTTGTCTATGTGAGTGTGACAGTACATATATATGTATGAGTGAGTGTGTGTCTTGTATATGTAATAACTTTTCAGAGAAATGTACTTCTTGGAAAAGCCATTAGTTATGTAACCTAGTCAAATGTGAACATGAGCTACAGATAAAGGGGGAAAACCACTTTGATTCACAAGTTCCTTGGTTGATATTGTAAAGTAATAATGTAAGCTAGTTTAGAAATAACCCCATTGTCCAGAATTTGGATCAAAGATAAAATGATAATTTAGAGTACCTTTTGGCACTTAGATGCATATGTATTTTGTGGATTATTAAATATTCCCTTCTTTAATAAGAAAGAAGCCTTAAGTATTATTTAAAAATGACATCTTTGCTGGATACCTTTTCTCAATCCCTTTCATTTTGGCTAAGTAATTTATTCATTTTTTATAAGAATAGACATATATCATTTGTGAGATTGTGGTGTTCGCCTGTAGTGCTTTAGCTAATACCCCTGACCTAGAACTTATATGGCACAAGATTCGTTGAAAGTCTTTAGTTGATGCTTTATCCTGATAAGTAAACAGACAGGCCTCTAAGAACAAGTGTGTAAGTAAGATGACTTCTGTAATGTCATTCATCCTCAGTGACTCAACTGAGTTTCTTTTT